TTTTTTAAAACAATTCAGATCCTAAAGCATATTTATGCATCTAACAATAATATCTATTTACTTTGGAAAAAAGGCCATTTCTAAAGCTCCTTTTCGTGTTGCTTCCTTTCAAATAATAGTTTTTAAAGTCTAATTACTACTCTAGACAGAATTAAATCAACTACAGACGTCTGAGCAGTTTTGTTTGAGCAGTGTCCATAGAGATCTCTCTCAATGGCAATATGATAGCATTGAGTGCTGAAAAAGGATTTACATTCCTGAAACTATAATAGTTTTTCTAATAATTAATGAATAATAAATAAATCTGCTGCTGAAGCTTGCTTCTGTACCAACAGCAGTATATGTTTTAAATGTAGTCCTGATTCATATTGAATTTTAATTTTTTTATAAGTTTAAATATGGGTAAGGAAGCATTAAAAACATCATACATTTAAGTGTTTTATTAATATTTGCAACATCTCTGTTCATAATATATATCTTTTTAAAACATTCCACTGATTCTGCTTAGCTGCTGGTGGCAGCCTTGTGTTAAGGAGTCATGGGAGCTCTTGGCATTTTGAGTGCTGTGTTAATTTAGATCAATTCTGAACATGATGAAACATTTAATTTCAATCTATGCATTGCCACTATGTTTATTTCAGGTCCTCGTGGTATTTCTGTGCATATGGTCTTTAATTTCCTCATGGAAAAGTAGCTCTTACTCTTGTCAAAGAGGAAAGATTATAATAATTGATAATAAAGACAATGGCTAGAGGCCATTTGTAATGCTTATAAGTTCTAAATAGGGGTTACTCAGCAATAGAATGGTTGGATAAACACACCAAGGCAAAGACCCTATTGTGTGCCAGATGCCAGCAGCCCTTGCTTCCCTGGGCAGGCCTTCCCAGGAAATCTGCGTGTCCACAGGTGAACACACATCCTCCTGTATGGCATAAACTGCCTTTTTTTTAATCTTTGAGTTGCTTCACCATCTAGCTACTCCCAAGGACCACAGATTCACTCTACTCTGGTCTCCCGGGCCACTTCACTGTTACAGTGAAGGGTCACCTGCTGGTACAAAATTACAGTCCCTTCCTTTGATCTTGTGTACCCCTAGTGCAGCAAAGTCAAGTGCTGGCAGTTTTCTCCAGTACCTGTGGGGAACCTAAGGTACTTAGCAACCCTTGACTACTCTCTCTTCAGTTCCCTCATAGCTTCAGTAGGGAGGGAATATCTCAGCACAATCCTCTGCAGGGCTCTGAACTGGCTTACTAGGGCAGAGCTGAGCTTTGGGCTGGAAGACATGGAGCAGCAATTAACTCTCAAAGGCCAAGCTGTTATCCCAAAATATTTCTATTATCAACTACCTAGTAACCATCCAAGCAGGACTGGGTAGTTCTGCAGCCTCCTCAGCATGCAACAAGTGTTGTGTGTACACATTTCTTCAAAGCTGAACGGGAAGGCACTGACTCCACAAGGAGAGCAGCTTTGTATTCTGCAAACATCTGCATAAAGTATTGCCATTATCTACTGCAGTAAATGGATCTTCAGACTCCTGCTAGTGGCAATCCTGTTGGTATGTCTGAGCTCTTTGTCTCTGCCTCCCTGTAGCTGCAGAGTAAAAGCCACTGTCTGTTCCTGCTCCCTGCTCTGACAAATTTCATTAGCGTGAGCAGGTTTTCATCTCATTGGTAATATCACTTGATTTTAAACATGATATTTCTGAATCACAGTTTAGCAGGAGGTTTTCAAATAAGCATCTAATGAATAATAGAAACAGAAAGAAGGCAGCTTAAGAATTTCAGATAAAATTAAACTGGCATCTGTTAAATGTTGTAGCAGTAATTTCATTCAGAAGTCATCTGCCATCTATCCAGGATACTTGTACATTTTATGTGTAATGCCAATGAGATCTGGTTTAACCTTGTCACAACGTGATCAGTTTGTGGCTCTGGGAGCTCAACATATGACACCATCTTTCTGCAGTGCCATTTGTTTCAATACAATGCAATTAATAAACCAGCAGTGTACAAAGATGTAATTTTCAGCTCAGATGATAAAAACATTTTAAAATCTGTAAAGACAGATGTATCAGTGGATGCTAAAACTCAAGATTTTCTATTTTTTAGAGCTCCATCATAGGTCATGTATTCTTTTTGTCCTATACAATAGCTTTCCAAGTGTCCTTCTTTGTTGACATAATAGAAGTAGACTCTTTATACTTTAAAAAAATACTTGTATAGAGATACATAAGTATATAATATATATAAGAATATAAGTAGCATGTAAGTGTATTATTTATAGTTATGTAGGTACTAAGAATGGAAATAATTATAAGCACATGGGACATATTGATCTCATTAGGGCAGGATTTTGCCCCATCTGTGCTGCAGAATGCTGTTAAAGTAATCAGAAAGATTTATATTGAAAAGGAAGCTTGCAGAAAAGTTACATTTCCTTTTTCTGATGTTCATGAGAGTTTAGTCCTTGATAATGGCATTTTGCCTGACTGCAGGAGAGGCTTGGCAGGATTCTGCAAGCAGGCAGTGGCACTGGTATTCCCAATACTGACTGGAGAAGTTGCTGCCAGGCCACGTGTTAAGTACAGCTGACTCAAGGGACTTGTCATTTAGTAATTCAGTGAACAGAGCAGATTCCTGTATGTCTCCTCTATATCTCAGGCCTGCTTGGTCTGCTCTGTGAAATATGTTGATGACAGAATTGTCTAACGCTTAGAAGTACTGGTATTTTAAAACATTTGCTCAGGTTTGTTATGGGGGTAGTCTTCACATTTACCGAAGGAAAAGACTAATTAAGAAATAAACAGTGCTTGGAATATGTGAGGTGGGGAGGGGGAAGACGGGTGTGGGGGGAGGTATTGTAAAATAGAGGAAATTTAAAAGCAATCTTGAACAATTTGGTCAAGCAAAAATTCTAAACTTTTCATTATTAATCAGAAAATGTTGGGAAGGATATATGGATGAGGTTTCAAGTAATTAATCAAACACTTTCAGATGGTGAAAACCACCACAAACACATGTATATATGTCCTGCAGGGCTTTGTCCATGCTAGAGATGTTTGTGGACTTCTTTAAGTAGTCAACATGTATGGGAGATATTAATGCTTGAATGTTTATTTAGACATGTTTGCACCAGCAGCCTCAGTTTCCTCCAGGAAGCTTGTTTGGTTGGCTCAGGCTGCTGCTGCAGTGCATGGTGCAGTGTCGATCCCTACCTACCCAGGCCAGAAATGAAGGGCTCCGGGAGGGCTCTGGTCATGCATGGTTGTGGTTCTAAATTGGTTATTAGACACCTTTAAATAAAGGTGACAATCGTGTTTATATTTTTGTTTGGTTAGAGACAAACCCTCAAGCAGTGTCGTCACTGGTAGAGTAGAGTAGGACTTGGAGTATGCCATGAGAATGAACAACCAAGGAAAGATAGAGCATAAAATGGGTTCACAAGTCGAACTTGAATATGATTCAGTGAAACAATTTTCTGGTGAACAAAAGCCTGTAGGATTTCATGATGAATGGATGTAGCAACTACATCTGGAATGGACAAGAGGTTGTTTAAGGAAAAAATAGACAAAGAGGGTTTGAATAAAACTTTTTACTGGATTAATATAAAGAAAAATATATATCTTTATAAGAGTAAAATTGAATAAATTGAAAGATTTAGACATATACCATCTAGGATGGTTTCAATCTTCAAACCTCTGTCTGACAGTCTAAGAAATATCTAGAAGCATGGTTACAGTAACTGTTACCACTGAGAAATGCAGCAGGAGTGGCAGAATAACAGGGTAGACGGACAGACAAACAGAGCACTGAGTTTGTGTGCAGGTGGTAGAGGTGAGTGTAAAGCAAAAGGCAAGAACAAGGACAGACAAATTAGTCGTGATTTCTGGAGGCAGAGTGACACTAAACAGGGGCGTGATAGGAATAATCAGTGGTGTGGAAGTTCCACTCTGTTTTTGCACAGGAGGGGAGAGTGAAAAGGGGGAGGAATTTGTGGTTACCCTGCAGTGAAAAACTGCCCAAAAAGCACCAGGAACCTTTTGCCAATGTACTACAGAGGCATTACCGCAGCAGCCAAGTGTTTCTGTTGCACGCAAAACCCAGAGATGAACGGGAACACTTCTGAAAGACACGTGTAGGTAATAAGAGAAAAGACAGGGAGAGTAAGAGAGCAGAGAAACCTGTGTGACCTGCACAGGTGAAAGAGATCTTGGAGAAAAGATATGAATTCCGTAACCTCAGCAGACATCTCAGCAGAATGTTAATTCTAAGGCAGTAATTGTTTTTTTCTGATTCTTTAGTCCAGAAACCATACTTTTATATAATCCACCTGAAGCTTGTCTATTCATAGAACCCAATGACCTTGACATTTATCTTTTTTTGTTTCACAACCTTCTCCTCCAATCCCCTCAGCCTGTGCCTGTTCTTATAACCTGATGCTCCAGTCCCGGAGAATGCAGTGAGTTTCTCCACTTGCCTGCCTCAGGCTGTCTCAGGAACACAGCGCTCGGCCCGGAGAGGAGCAGGCTTGAGAACAACCCTTTAAACTGTGGATCTGGTGCTTGAAAAGGAATGAAAGAGCGAACCCCAGGGGAAGGGAGATCGGAAGCAGCACCAGCAGCGTCCGCTCTCCGGCCAGCGGCCAGGCATGCTGGTCCCCTTGCGCTCCCCCGGGGATACATTCCCCACCGCCGTTTGAGGCCGCTCAGCTCCATAAATGCCATTTGCATGGGGGATAGGATGTAACAAGAGCTGTAAATCACTGACGGCGGAGCGAACTCCTCAGGGGCAGACACGGCGGAGCCGAGCCTCCGCGAGCTGGGGCAATGTGTGAACGGTATCTTTTGTTGGGGGGGAGGACTGATCGCAATTAGATGATACTTATCTGGCCCTTTGATGTGTATTTACACAAACAAGGTTTTCCTCCGGGAGATGAGGTATAAAGGAGGGGCCCGCACTCCCCTACACCCTTCTTTCCCGGTATCTCTGAAACAAGGCAGGATGACGAAGGCCCCGTTCTCCGTGGAGTGGTTGTCCCAGAGCAGCCAGGCTCTCAAGAGTCCCACCGAGGGCTCTCCGCACCGAGAATCCTCCGCGGGCCACCGGCCCGGCTCTGGCTCCGGTCCTGGCTCTGGCTCCAGCCCCGGCTCGAGCGAGCGGAGTCGGGAGCAGTCCGCCGGGCTGCGGGCCGGGAGAAGCGGCAGGAGCAGGGAGCATGTGGCGGCCACTCCCGCTGCAGGTAACCGCGGTGTCCGCGGCCATCGGGGCGTCCCGGAGCTCCCGCGCCGGGGGAGGGGGGTGGGCGGGCCTGGACCACCCCGGGACCTCGGGAAGGCACCACTGCGCGGCGGCGAAGGAGGCGGGCGGTCCCCAGGCATGGCTCACCCTTTCCTCTTTCTCCCCTGTCCCCAGGAGCAGACGGGCGGCCGTCGGGAGCGGGTCAGCCCGTGCCCGAGGAGGGTCCCGAGTGCTCGGGCCCCGAGGAGCCCGGCGGGCGCGGCGGGCGGCGGCTGCGCACGGCGTTCAGCGCCGAGCAGATCAGCACCCTGGAGAGCTCCTTCCAGCGGCAGCAGTACCTGGGCGCCGCCGAGCGCCGGCAGCTGGCGGGCAGGATGCGCCTCTCCGAGGTGCAGGTGAGCAAGGGGGGCACTGGCTGCGCCGTGGGCTTGGGGAACAACATCAGCATAGTTCTAATAACAAGATGAAGAACAAGCTGTGTGCCGTTGTAACCTCACCTTTTTTCCTCCCCCCTCCCCTTGCTTTTCCCCTAGATCAAGACTTGGTTTCAGAACCGACGGATGAAGCTCAAGAGGCAGCTGCAGGAGTTGAGGACGGAGCCCTTCTGCAGTCCCCCTCTCCCTTACGGACCTCAGGGCGGTGTGGTGCCCTTGCCTCTCGCATACGTGGCCAGACCATCACCTCTGCCCCGGCAAGGGGCCGCCTCTGAGGGTTTCACCTTGGCTGCTCTGCCGGCAACCGCCCTGGACCTCAGCAGCGCCTGCAGAGCACAGCCAGTTGGCTTTTGGGCGGCACCCTGCTTTGTAGGGTACAGGGATCCCAGAGCATTCTTGCTGGGTGTCTGACCGTCTGATATGGACTATGACTAAAGAGGATTTGCACTACTGATAGATATTTGGGCTGCCCTTGTCTGTAACTGCCTGGCGGAGTTATGATGCAGCACTGAACAAAACATTTTACAAAGACATGCTGGACAACCTGGATTATGGACTTCAGGCCTCTGCATTTATAGGCAACTGTAAAATAGGAACAGAGTGGGACAAACACTTAATATAAATGAAATCCTTTAATAAATCTAATTCTTTTTTCTAGCTTTCATGTGCATTCCTTCCACAAGGATTGTAGAGCTATACATTCTGCCCCAAAAGAAAGCTCCTCTTCATTAAAGGAAGCATAGACTCCTTATTAACTAGATCTGTTCTGCCCATCTGCAATTTACTGAGCATGAGTGCAAAAAAGCGTGAATTTCCCCCTGCCTTGTAAAACAGGTATCCAATCCCTTCAGCTACTTCCTAGATGGGATTTTCTGTCATGGGACTGTGCCTTTAACCAAATATGTGGATATACCTGTTACTTAATATTGGGCTTGCTATAGTAGTGGAATAGATGTTTTTGTTGGAGACCCTTAAATAACATATTTGTATTATCTTAAGATGTAAAAAGTTTTTTTCTAAATAAGTATGATAATATATTTTTATGCTTTCACGTGCAGCCTCAGTAGATTAATAAGAAGGACATCTTGGGAAGGATCTACACATTTCTTATCTACAAAATAGTATCTTATCATCTCACACACAGGTAATGGGGTATGAGGGTGATGATGAAAAATTTACCATTCCGGTGCTGTTTTTCCCTCAGTGGCAGTAAAATTCCTTCCCACTGTGCTATGCACTTTTAAAATGTGAATAATGTTCTAGTAAATTTATGGTCAAAACGGCCTGATTTCAGGCCAGAGAAAGGGCTCTGAGAAGTGATCCTTGACTCCTCTAAGTTGACATAAATCTTTCAAAGTCAACTGTCAACCAACATGAAAAGAGCAATAAATATCTCCACTTTAGAGGTAATCTCTGGGGTTACTGAAAGATTACCGGTACACTTGTAATCTAGGTTCCTGTAATAAGTGGTCTGAAGGTTCTCTGTCAGTATCCTTGAATACACCTCTTTTATTTTGTGTGCAGGGGCCAATCTGCCACTTAAACACATTTGTCTGGTAAAAAGCAACATTATGTGCCGCTGCGGGCAGTAGGTTTTACAGACACATTTGGAACTCTCTTTAACTATTTTGTAATCCATGCTGTATTTTTCGAGCCTTTTGAGATACTGCTATTTGTTTGCAATTGATTAAAATTCCCATTCAGTGGAGGTTTATTTCTCGAAGACAGGTGTTACTAAATAATTATTTATTCGAGGAAATCTCTCAGACTCCTTTAAATGTCATTAGGAAACTGGAATGTATCCAGAAAGCTCAGAAATGTCTTGCTCTAAAGCAATGACGTTTAAAATACCAAACAATCAAGGTCAATTAATATATCATTTACAAGTGTTAAGGTGAGACTCGAAGTGGCTATTCCATTTTCAAGAGGATAATTAAAGGGTTAGGTGTTCCCTTTATGATCTTGTATGGCCACAGTGGAGAATCCTGGCTCTACTGCATATACTCTGCTCACCTCGTACTAAAGAACAGTAATAGTCCCTTATGCTCCTAAAAGCGAAAGCGGCGGTCTGGGGGGCGAAAGGAGGGTACTCTGAGGGAACCCACGGGGACCGGGACTACCCGCGGCGTTGCGGGAGCGCCCCAGCCCCGGACCAAACGGGGAGAGGGTGAAAGGGAAGTGGGGACGGGCAGCTGGCCCTGGGGAAAGTGAGAGACAGATGAAAAGGCTCAGGAGGAGAGAGGGAGAACAAAGTGCTCCCACCTGCGGAGGGGAACTGTTTCCGTGGGGACGGGGTTTGTGAGGGGGAGGAGGGTGTCGCCGTCTCCCCAACCCAGGTGTAATAAAGGAGAGGCAGAAGCACACCTTATCGAGTCCTCAAGTGTTCCCGGTGAGACACCTTCTGGGGCAGCTTTGTCTGGGCCCTCATCCCCCGGATCTGCCCTCCCGGCCCCCAGCGCCGCTCCGGGCTGCACCCGCCCGTCCCCGAGCTCGGCTCGACCGAGCGGGGGGAACAGTTTCGCCTCCGTGCAAAAGTTTGTAGCTAGACAAGAGGTAACGGGAGCTGCCCGGAGCAACACGTGGTGCTGCGATCCTTGCCGTGATTTAAGCCCACGGGGGATGGTGGGGTCCACGCTGGGACAGGCGGGGCTGTGGGGCCAAGCGGCACCGGCCATGGGGCAGTCTCGGAGGTGGCGGTTCTGCGTGTGGGGTGCGTGTATGCGGCTCCCCGTATCCTGGCTGAGGGTGGCGGGTTTCGTGCCAGGGGCGAGAGCTGATTAGTGGCACTAACGGGACGACCTATCCCTGGACGTACGAGCTGCAGAACGGCTGGAGAGGCAGAAGCTGGTCTCTGAAAGAGTGATAATGGTCACTTAACATAATGACTCCTTGGCCACATGTATACTTAGCAAGCACGTGAAATGCCTTCCCAGTGTTTTGGCAGCGCTAGCTTGCAAATACTGCTCGGTTTCCCGGCGGTTGCTCAAATGAACGCAAGAGGTGATGCTCACTTGGCTGAGTGCCTAGTAGTAGCAGATTCCTCCGAATATTTACATGATAATTCCTCTTCCACCTGCAAAAGGCGGCTTTCTCTAGAAGGTAACTAATACATTCCAGTGGTCTAGAAAACTATATGTGAAGTCATTTAATTTTTGCTAAAGCGGTCCAATTCTGGCACTAAAACGTGAATGCAAGATTTTAGTTTTATCTAGGAGAAACTCAAACTTCATGTTTTATTCCTGCATGTTTGAATTTCTCATCCACCGAGTTTAATTCCTGGCGGCAATAATGGAGCATTGGTGTCAGCTCAGGCTCCCTCCACGCTCGCAGGACATCAGAGCAGTCGGCTCCTGCTCCCGCACCACACCCGTCGAACGCCCCCGCAGCAACCTCCGGGCCGCCCCACAGCACGGCGGGGAGCAGCCCCCCAATTTGTGTTGCACCACAATAAACCCCAGTACCGGAAGGCTCTCTGGCAGGACCAAGCGGTGTAGGCAAGCCAGCTACAAATGGGAAGGGGGAGGGGGGGGACCCACAACAACAAAAAAAAAACCAAAAATGCCGAGTCGATTAGCTGGGGAGGAGCATCTTAAGGAGCAGCTTAATGCTCCTAGGGGTGAAACCGTCGGAATTCCCGGCCCGACAGGTCTCGAGGAAGAGGCTGTATAACCTGGAAAATGGACTCCCCGGGAAGGAAAAGGGGATGGGAGGGGAAAAATTGCCAGAACGCTAACTTCAAAGCCTTTGTCCCCTGCAGTGCGTGAGCAGAGGGGGAGCAACCTGATTGAATTAGCACCGCGGGGTGGGGGAGCCGCCGGCAGCCGCGCACGGTACCACCCCTCCCAATTTGGCTAGAGCAGCCATCGGGGGACTGGGAATAGGATCGGGGTATATCACCCCCCCGCAGCTCCCAGACACGGTGGAGCCACTCCAGGGACCTCTTTAAAAACCAGGTGAAGTTATTCGGTGTTGTGTGCTAATCGAGAGAGATCTCGCACTGTCAGGCCATTACATCTAATTGCTGCCCATTATCTTTTTCTTTGATACTCAATTAGATGACAATTAACTTGATAAATCCCACCGAAGCGGAGGGAGAAATAACGAGGAGAGACCTCTTAGTCTCGACGTGTTCCTTGTGTAGATGTTACTACTTTATAGCTGTCTCTTAAACTCCTCGACTTCGACCTGTATTAGTACTTAGTAGGGAGCTAATCCTACCGTCTCTTTGGTATTCAGGCAGGTTAAGTGCTTTAGTTCTTATTTCAGCTCTTAGTTATTCTGCTTGGACAATTCTGAACCACTCTGGAGGTGTCACAAATCCTCAGGCAAGGTAGTAAAGGCGTGCATAGAAATTCAAGTATTAGTTCGTTTCAAGGTAGCTTGTACTTATCTAGGCGCTTTGACCACTAGTTCTGCAAAGAACACCGAAATATTTCCCTGATAATTTTTTTTGTTTTTAAATGCAAAGTGAGTGTTTGCTCCCACAGTCGCTGAATAGCAGTATCTGGGCTTGCAGCCTGTGAGCTGGGAGGGAAGAGGCTGCCGGGTGAGTCAGTAGCATTTGTCATTTATTGTGTGTTAGCCTTCATTGTTCCCGTGGGCAAAGGAGCGCCGGGGTGATGGCACTGTTAGTGTTCACAGGTACTTCAAACAGAAAAGCATCTATTCCGAAACAATCGATCTCGTTGATGCCTAATTGACTATCTAATAGCACCTATCAGGACATCAAAGGAGGAGCTGAATAACCGAGTTAGCATTTCCAAACGAGAACAGCGGAGGGTACAAACAGCCATCAGCTCTCCCACCGGCCGGGAGCCCAGCCTGCGCCCTGCGGTTGGCTATGAGCATAGGATTCCTATGGTCCCGTCTGGAGCAGGGCAAAATAGCTGCACTTTTAGCCATGTAAAACCTCGCTCCCTACAGTAATTAAGCTTACTTACTTCTGAAGGGCTGCCACACTCCCCCGGCATCTCTCCTCCTGCCTATTTGTGGAGCTAAACGTATTTTGGGGGGAGGATTGAGTGTTGGTTTGGTTTGTTGGGGGTTTCTTTCCCCCCTGGGTGGGACGTGTGCCATTGCAGTTGTCCTTACTGCATAGTCTGTCATCCCCACTTCTGCAGTTCTGTCAAGAATATATGGGAAAATCTAAGCTTTTCAGAAAGATAAATGAAATTTGCCTATGATGAAGCCAGCAAGTTTGCAGCCCAGAAGGTCCCAGGTCTGGTGGCCTAGTACATCAGCTCTTAGTCTATGATAAATGCTATGATAGAAGGGAAGTCTGAAACATAAAGATTCACCGAATTATGGTAGCAATTATTTTTCCGGAGAAGGACTATTCTTCTGTTTGCTAAAATGTGGCCACTTCTAAGTTTTCACGCAGTGTCGCTGTGATGGTTTGTCGAAGGCCTGGGCCCACCAGCAGCATTCCTGGGCAGTACAAGTACTTCACCCTCTAGCAAAGTGTGAACTTCTAGTACCTGGTGCAGGAGACAATGCAGCCTGGACAACAGGCTGGACCTTCCCAACCATAACACCTTCGTGCTGCAGAGCTGCTGCAGCTGTTCTCGTGGGTTCATACTCCGTGTATGTACAGAGCCCCAGATGAAATATTCCCATGCATACCAGTGAGATAAATCTACCATTTGTCCTTACAAGTC